TGAGGGTGGGGAGGGGGAGCCCTCTGCCAAGGGTAGGCTGTGCAGAAGAGGGCTTCCTCATCACACCCCCGCCCCCCTGCAATTTCCCCTCTCCTCAGAGTGCATGGCATTTTCTAGGAAGACAGAAGGCAGTGCTATCCCCTAGATCATGAGTGTGGAGACCGTCCCAGGCCTGGGAGGGGTAAACTGGCATGGTCTGTGGGGGTAAATGAGTCAACGGCCCTGTGGGGCCACCTGATTCTTGCTAGCAGATTCCCAGAGGGCTAGGGCGGTGGCCTTGGCAAAGCCATGGGGCAAATGTCCTCACCTGAGCAGGGTGAGGCAGGGCAGGACCCAGCAGGCCCTGGCCCCACTAAACCTGCTTTTGATTGGCCACCCCATGGCACTGAGATGCAAACCACCCCCCACCTGTGGCCAACAACTGCCAAAATCACTGGGAGGTCAGGATTAATTAGCAAATTGGTCCTTAGGGGTCCCTAGCAAGGTGCAGAGGAAGGCCTGGCGGCTGGGGTGGGCCTGGGGACAGCAGGTCAGCAGGCCGGTCCAGCAGTGGAGGGCAGCAGGCTCCCCTGGCCTGAGTCTGAGCGGGGAGCAGTTCTCACCCCAGGAGCCTGGGCCAGTGGCCTCATTCTTCCCACGGCCACAGGAAACTTCCAGGGAACTGGGACCTCCAAGCCCGAGAGAACGCCTCCAAAATTCCTTCGGCTTTTTCTTCCCTAGTCAACCAAGCATCTATTTATAGACATGGAAATATGCGTGGAGAAAGGACTGGAAGGAAATACGCGAAATGTTAACATGTTTTTCTTCTTTTCTTTATTGGTATTGTCTTATAAAAAGTAAATATGACTCTCCAGATAAGAAACGAGATATTTTTAAAGTGTAATTAATCTTGATATAAGTATTCATGCTTGTCGTAAAAAAGTGGAAAGGAGAAATCTGAAATCACCCATAGTCCTATTAACCGTGAACCTGTTGCTGTGTTTTCTTTCACGGTTTCTCCTATGCAGACATTTTGGATGCAGGGTTGTTAACATCACTTTATATGATTACAAAACTTTTCTGTGACATCTTTTAAACTGCCTAATATTTATGCTCTAGGTAATACTACTATTGGTTTCTAATTCTTCACTATTGTAAGGAACACCGTTGTGAACATCTTCATATGGAAAAGTCCTTTGTGTTTTTCAGATTTCCGTCTTCAAATTCTCTAATTTCCAGATGTGGGATTACAGCGTAAAAGGCTGCCACACGTAAAGCAACAGAGTGAACTTGAACTCAAGTTAGTCTCACTCCAAAGTCCCCATCTTTAGTCCTGACGAGTAGTATTAAAAGAAAGATGGAGACGAGCGTTCGCTGGGCACAGGGCAGGGCTGGCATGTGTCCTGCCTCCCACGTTCCCTCTCCCAGCCCTGCCCCCACCAGCTGTGGTGTCCCCTGCGAGCCCAGCCCCGGCCACACTCCACAGGATGCTACGGGGGCAGAGGAGAATCAAAAGTCTCCCCAGTGTAGCTGGGGAGCGAAGGTCCGGGCAGGCTGGGCCCCGAGGGAGAAACCCCTGTACCATGGGTGGGACTGTTTCTCAGAGGCGAAGAGTCAGCTGCATCTTTAAAGATGGGCAGAGGAAGGCGTGACCCGGGGCTGGGGCGCCGGGGCCCTGAGGTGGCAGGTGGGGCTCATGCAGAGAAACCCAGGAGGTGGAAAAGCAACGAGATGCCAGGCTGAAGACGGCCGAGTCGGCTCGGGGGAGGGGGCGGATGGCGCGTGCTTCACCCCTCCTCCCACCCCTCCTCAGGTCTCCAGGCCTCTCTCCTACCACCCGCCTCAGCCGCAGCCTCCCTCCACACCCTCCCAGGTTCCCGTTTTTCTGTGGAGACCACAGCATCCTGTCCCGACCCGGGGAAGGCTGCCACGTCTACCGAGGGCCAGTGACTTCCTGTCACAGCCAGACTCTGCGGGGGCTCATGTCTCCTGGTTGGCCCGGCCCCAGAAGGCAGAGGCAGCCGGCTCCTGCAAGCAGAGCCGTGACACTCACACGCTGTCACTCCAGCACACTCACACTCACCTACACACCACACGCTGCCACTCACGCGTCTTACACTCCCGCCTTCACACGCGCTCACACTGGCGTGCTTGCATTCCCTTGCACGCTGACTCACACACGCCCCGTGCTCACTCACCCTCCCTCGCACACTCCCGCTGGCTCGGAACACGGTGCCCTCACTCACCCCAGCTGGGAGCAGCACGAGGAGAAACTGCCCGGCCAGGACAGGCTGGCGGGCAAAGGGCCAAGGCCCTCACTGGAGGGGTAGCCGCCGGCGGAGGTCAGATGTGGGGGCCCCCGAGCACCCACTGCCCCCCGTGGCTGCAGCCCCTGCCTCAGCTCTCGCTCCCTTCCACAGAGACAGGACATCGTGCTGCTTAAGGACACAGGCTGGGGGGGATGATCCGGGCCCAAATGCTGGTCCCGCCACTTGTTACTTCATGTGAGACTGGACTCTGAGCCTCAGTTTCCCTCTCTGTAGGGGCAGCACCTCCCTTACAGGAAGGCTGGGTGATTAAATGACATCATGCCTGCTAAGTGCTATGCAAGTCGCACCGACTGTAAATGCTCTGCAAACGGAAGAGCTTAAATGTCGTTCTTAGAACACCCCGGCCTAGCTACCGGGATGGGGCCCTGGTGGCTGAGTGACCTACAGCTGCTCTCCGTACCCCACAGACACCAAAGCCCAAAGCCAGCAGGCTGAGGCCCTGCCCAGCTTCCTGCCGGTCACAGACACACCCAGACAGTGGCATTGCAGCCACCAAAAAGCAGACACTCATCCCCAAACTGGGGCAGCTCCACCCTCCCAGTCCTGGGACCCTTCGGGCCCTCCCACCTAACGGCCCCGGTCACCAGCGCCCAGCACCGTTTCATGACTCCCTCCGCTCTCTCTCTGCTGTTCACGCTGCTGCTTTGCCTCGCACCAGCCCTGGGGTGCATGCTTCCCCCTGCCCGCTTTCCAGCCCCAGAGCCCCTCTCTGCTCCATCTCTCCTGCGAAACTCACTGGCCTCCCAGCTCTGTCTGTCCACATCACAGCCCTGACCGCTTCGCCCCCTCACCCCCTCCCCTCCTCCCTCTCCCCTCAGCCCCTCTCCCTATGACCCCCTCCCACTCCTCCCCTCCCCCACCAGCCCACCAGTCTGGTCCATCTGGACACCCAGTCGGACCAAGCCAGCATCCCCGGAACCAGCTGACACTGTGGCCAAAGAGCGTCCTCCCCTGGGAGCAGTCTCTGCAGACAAGGGCTGAGGAAGGGGGCGATCCCAACAGGCAGTTCAGGACACCAGAACTGGGGGGGACCAGGGTGGGCTGGGCATAGGAGCCACACCTGCGTCCATCCTGCCCAGAAACCCAAATGGCTGTGGATCTCTGGTTGGCTCTGCGCTCCCTCTCTGGGGCCAGGCGGTCATCTGAGGGGTGCGTGTGGGGGCAAACTGCACTGAGGCCCCCCTGCCTGTCCTGGACTAGTGCCCTGCCACCCTTGGAGTGGAGCCCACAGCCAGGGATGGCCTGAGCGCCCTGCCTCTCCTGCAGAGCCATGAGTTGATCTGGCCCATGGCAGTTGGGTGGCTCTGCCCCTTAGCAGCCTCCCTTAGCAGCCTCCCCAGGACCTTCCTGGGTGCGGGTCAGGATCTGTGCATTGACTGGGACCCCACGATGGCCGCGATGCCCAGGGCTCACACTGGCGCCAGGCATTTGAAACGCATCCTGCCCAGGATGGCTCACCTTCTCGGGGCTGCTTGTGATGAATTCAGTGCCACCAGGTGAGAAAGACACATGCAGATTTCTCTGCTTTACATCCTGTACAGACAGGAAAGCCAGGCTTGGGGCCGGGCGGGCCTGAATTTGAGGCCTGGCAATGCCTCTTCTCAGGTCTGTGGGACCCAGGCAAGTTCCTTAACTTCTGTGAGAGCACCAGCTTCCCTGTCTGCACAGCAACGATTATTGGAGAACTTAACTCTAGGATGTGAAAATTAAATGAGCTTGTGCTTATTATCAAGCCAGGCACGGGGCCAGCACTCCAGCGCTCGTGGGAAAGCAGCAGCCATGGCTGTTGTCGTCAATGTCATTTCTCATCTCCACCTGTGACTAGGAAGTGGTGTTGTCCCAGGTGCGCCCCTAAGCAACCTGGAGAGGAGAGAGGGGGCGGCCAGAAGCCCCAGAGCCCTCAGCCAGGACTGAGCCGTGGGACTGGAGCACTAGGCCCGACGTGGGCTCTCCGTTCTTTGTGGCCTGGAGTCCACCTGCTCCCAGACCCCCCGAGATAGAACAGGAGAATGGGGTCGCATTGAGTTACTTCTCAGAGGAGCACCAGGCAAAGCTCCACTGGGCTGTCCCTTGGCTTTTGACAGAGTCACTGTTCTACAAGGCCGGCTTCATTGGGCGAGGGGTGATGAGAGCGAGAACACCCAACTTCCACCTGGGAGGATCCCATTCCTTCCACTTCCGAGAGAAGGGTTTCCTCGCTCCCTTCCCCCTCCCCCTCCCTGAGAGTTGAGAATAACATCTCCCTCCCTCCCTCTCTCCCTCCTTCCTTCCTCCACTTCTCCTCCAAGAAGTCCTAGGTGGCAAATGGGCGGGTGGATAAAAATCATGGTACAGGTCGAAGCAGGAACTAGTGTCTCTCCTGAGGAAGGACACGGTCTGTTACCTGAAGGGACAAGTAGAGGCCGTTGGACAGAATAACCGAGAACTCCACTCTGATGGATGCGAAGCTGCCTAGAATAGATCTCAGAAAGGAATCTTCCAGGGTTTCCTCCCGCCCCGAACTCCCAAGGAACATCGACCAGGCCAAGGCTGAACCCACCGCAGAGCCAGTCCAGCCAATACTCGGTGGTCCAGGAGAAGGGCCCAGCCCCTGCCCCGCCCCGCACCGCCAGTCCCGTTCTGTGGAAAATGAAGGCCCTCCCTGAGCCCTCCGCTTTCTGCAAAGCCATTCCAGCAACCTAGACCCATGACTTTTAGCTTGTTCAGCTCTTTTAAAACAACCCTTTCAAAGCAGCTCAGAAATGGGGGCTGTGGCTTGATTTGAGGTTAAACAAATAAGTGCCATTTATCCACCAACACTCTAGGAATGAAAGATTTCTTCAGGCAAATTCCCAAGCTGCGTGCTCCAGAAAAACTGCTGCCCCAAATTGCTGGGTCCTGGTCCAGTGCTCTCCATTTCTGAGGATATGTGGGTTGCTTTCGGCGGTGCTCTGCACAGAGCACTAGGACCGGCGGTGGTGGAGTCGGTGGCCGGGCACACCGCCCCTTGGCTGTGTCAGCCTCCCACGCGGCGCCCACGGGGCCCTGGGAGCTCCTGGGCACTTCTGGGCCTGTCGGGAATGGCTCCGCTCCACCCTGGGGGCCTGGGCCAGACTGCTGGCTGCTTCAGGCAGACTGCTTTTCTTCCCATGTTTTGAGGGTAGGCAAGAATGAGAAAAAGGGGGTGGGGGGGGACACATTCTCAAACAAATAAAACTGCAGGGCACCAGACGGGAACGCTGAGCTCCTCAGACTGACGGGTGCAGGAGCCACTCTGCAGAGACGTGTGCCTTCCTCTTCACTCTCAGAGACATCGTCTTAACGCCCAAGCTGGAAATTTGGGCCAAGAGTCGTCAGATCTCCCTACTCTTGGAAATACCCTGTGGCAGAAACAATAAGCTCACCAAATAGGCCATTTGCTCCCTTACATTTCCCAGCTGTGCCATGTGACCAGTTTGGGCCAATGAAATGTGTGGTGTGTGTCATTGCCAGACAGAGGCAGTAAAAGTCCATTCTCTAGTCTCTCTCTCTCCTGGACTCTGCGAATATGGAGGTGTTCCAGATGGTGCGGCTACAAGATGGGAGCTTCCGTCCGCCTGGGTCCCTGAGTGAGTCCGTGGAGCAGAACTGCCTGCCGACTGGCTGAGACATAAAGCATGAGCAAGGAATAAACTTTTGTTGTGTTCAGCCACTGAGACCCAGGGTTGGTTGTTACTGCAGCATTACCTGGCATGCCCTGACTAACTGAAGCTCCTGGAATACTACAGTATACTTTACCATGTTGTCTGCTGAGAGCGATCAGCATGCAGGAGTTAGACAACAATACGCCCACTCCCTCTGGCCAACAGCCTTCGCTCAAAGGAGCACTTATGAGCTAACACTCAGGGGCCCCACGGTTCCCCATCTCACCAAAGATTTAAGGAAGTTCTCTGAGGTTTGGGCCTGGGTCTATGCCTCTTTCAATTTCTCTACAGAATTTGGTTGAATGCTACCATAAAGACGGTCCTCTCTCATTTCTAAGGCACTAAACAGGGCATAAAGCATTTCCACTGGCGATCCCCCATGAGGCAAGGGAGACAGCCTTCATTCTTATTTTAAAGATGAGAGCACTGAAGGATTTAATGTCTTGCCAAGGTCACACAGCTAGCTAAAGAACTTGAACCTAGGTCTTGTGTCTCTTGGCACGATACCAGTATTTCTCAAAATGTAGTTCACAGACTCTGAGGTGGGGCCCGGGAATCTGCATTTCCAAAGCTCCTCAGGCAACAGCTATGCTCATTAAGTGTGAGAACCCTCGCACCGCGGGTGCCACCTCCTTCATCGGACAAAGCCAACACCAGAGTGGTGGGGATCGGAGGGCTGCAGCCAAGGACCTCCTCCCCCCGACCCAAAACAACACATCTCCCGGCCAGACTGCTCTTTATCAGATTCTCCCCAAAGAGCCGTTTCTTTAGGTTAAAATACAAATAGTCTAGAAACACCGGCAACCTGCTCATGAATTAACTCAGGTTATTCCCAGCTAAAAACCACCGCTTGTAAGAAATCACTCTGCAAAGTCAGTCGAGTCAAGATCAAGATCTGAAAGTGCAAATCCAGCTGGAGGCTGCAGGGGGGCGAAGGCCTGGACCGCAAGAAGAGGCTGAGCATCATGGGGGTGGGGGTGGGATGGGGTGCGGGGAGGACTCAGAAAAGGATTAAAAAATGCAGCTGAGGCAGGTGGTTAAAACCTCACAAGAAAGAGTCAGAAAGTACTGGAGAAAATTCTCAACCTTACTACTGACTACCTGTGGAAACTTGCAAAAGTTACTTCATCTCTCTGAACTTCGGTTTTCTCACCTGTGAAATGGAACCGATAACAGAACCTACCCGTAGTTAGACCGTTACAAGAATCAAACGCATTTGTGCATAAGACAGTTCACATTTATCGATCCCTTACCATATGTCAGTGGCTGTTCTAAGTGTGTTCTATATCTTAACTCGTTTAATCATCCCCACTGCCCTATGATGTGGTTATTACTTTACCCATTTTATAAATGAGGAAACAGAAGCACAGCGAGGTGAAGTAATCTGCCCAAAGCTGCAAGGCTCCCAAGTGTCACGGCCAACATGTGAAGCTAGTTGTTCAGACTAAAGAGGCAACAATCCTATGGCTACACTGAGCCCTGGATGCCTCATCTCACAGGGAGGGATGTAGCTGGAGGAGGGCTGCAATGGAGCCCATTGAAAGCTGGGGCTCAGGGAGGGGGCCCCTGTTGCCCAGGTCCAAATGCAAACTGACCAGTAGCCATACTAAGTACTATCACTACTGAGCTAAGGAGTGAAGGAGCAGTCTGCTCGTTCCTCCCTCCAACCCCAAGACACTAACCCTACTCCATACCCAGAGGAAGACACTGGGTGCTGCCTCCAGAGCCCAGAGAGGCCGAGATGGCTCCAGCCCTTTCTCCCAGTATCCCCTACAACAGGCACCGACACAAATGCCAGCCCTCTTGCTCCACTGTCCAACTAGAGAGTTGTCTGGGATCAACAATTTGGTTGTTTTATCTCGTTTGCTCTTTTAGTGCATCTCCTTTAAAAAAAAATTTGTCGGTGTTGCAAGGAAAAAAGGGAACCAGCATTCACTGAGCAGTTACTACAGGCGACACTCCACATCAAGCATGTCTATGTGTCTCATTGGGTCCTCGCAACTTTGTGAAATAGATATTATTATCTCCATTTTACAGATGAGGAGACTGGGCCCAGGGAGGTTAAATCTCTTGCAGCAAAGCAGTAGCACGGTGCCACTTCAAACCCTCGTCTCTTTGTACCCAAAAGCACTCACAAGAAGTGATGGCCAGCAGGGCTTTAAGATCCAGCCCCCGCAGATGGAGTGCCCTGTTTCTCACTCATTCTTTCATGTGTTGGGTGCTTTTGAGAGGCTGCTCTCTGCCAGGCACTGGATGAGCGACTGCAGCAACCTGGCCTCAGCTTCATTCCATTCAGCAGGTATGCAGGTCTATATTAACATTGTATTTGGAGAGACTTCTATCACCCCCAGGTTCCACAAGGACCATCAGCCCAGGGGCTGCTTCTCCGGGATGGCGGGGATTCAGCCTCCTCCAGGGAGAATCCAAGCTCTGGGTGTTTCAGGAAACGTCTGACCTGCCAGGTTTCCGTGTGGCTGATCAGTTAGAGCTGGGGGAGCGGGGGGGTGCCGGAGGGGAGGTTTCCCGTCAGCCCAGCTTTTGTCTCTCACATGAGCCCGAGACAGACAAACCACAACCACAGACTCGACCAGCTGTGGAAGCTTCGAACAGGAAACCCAGAACATCTGGTGCTCCACTTCCTGTGAAGGCTGTGCAAGTCTGGGTGTATTTGTGTGTCCGCCTGTGTGCATGTCTGTTCTCTCTCCCGCTGTTGTTTAGTGGGACACGGATACAGACAGGGTAAGAAACCACAGGCCTTGTGGTGACAGGGGAGCCAGACACCGCTCCCCAGCCCTTACAGTGCCTTGGCCCTTCTCAGTGACCCAGGATCTGATCCAATCTCACAGGCCGCCCTCCAACACCCGGCACATGTTTAGCTTCAAGTCACCACGCACTTGAATAAAGGGACTTTTTTTCTCCTTTTGGATTTAGGTGGTTTTAGAGAAGCTTGTTTGGGGATGAAGTGGGAGGGCTCTGCTTAAATATAACTTGGCCTCAGCATACAGACACACAAAAAGCAGCGTCTGGATGAAAGCTGTTTTTAAAACAATTTGAGGAGAATCTGTGGATGACCTCTGAGGCTGGTCAGGGGGCTGGTCAGGGGGCTGTTTTCCCACTAGTGGTGTCCTCTCTGGAAGGTCTCAGACAGACAGAGACGGAGAAGGGTTTCAAGAAACGTAAAGAAATGGAAAGAAAAGACTCTCCAAACTGTAGCACGAGGTTTAACTCTCCTATCAGTCACATTTAGGAGGCAGGCATTATTATGCTCATTTTACGAATAGTGAAATTGAGGTGCAGAGAGGGGTCGTAACTTACCCAAGATTACTAGGCAAGGAAAGATTCGGGCCCAGGTTCGAAATCAAATCTGACTCGTAGCCGCATGCTCGATCCTAGATCACACTTCATTCTTTCAGTGACCAGTAATAATCTAAACTGTGCCTGGCCCACAGTTGTTGTTCAACAAACGTTTCCTGAATCAGTCAATGAAATGAGCTATCATGGATGGCAAGAATTGTCATCATCACTGTATCCCCAGGGCTCGGCATAGTGCCCTGCAGGAGTAGGTGATTCATAAGTTTCAGAATAGTGACAATTCATTTACCCGCAGGTCATGTACTTAGCCAGGTCGACTGTTTGGCTCCTGGCTAAAAATCTGAAAGCAGGTATAAAGAACCACAAGCAGTCAACAGAAGCCACAAATCCTTAAAAGCCTTGACTTAGATAACTCCGGCCCTCAGTCCAAATCTGGTCATCTTCACGAGTGCTAAAAAGTATGTTTGCTGATCTCAGAAGCATCGGTTTAGAAAGGAGATGGTCTGATAGAGGAAGCTTGCTGGCAACAGCAATGTAGGAATTCAACCGGCATTTTCAGAGTGGCACGTGTCACTACGGAATCAACGAGGAAAGCGCCAGGAGAGGTAAGAGACAAAGTAGATGAACTGTCTAATTCTCAGACATCTGCCCTCAAAAAAGCACCGAGAAAGCCAGATGAACTGTAGCATCTCAGATAATTCTCTAGCTAAGATTAAAAGGCGTGACAGCGAGGACAGGAAGACCTCAGTGGTGCTCACTCGCGACTTGGTGTTTAATAGCAACACACTGGCCAACCTGAGATGGCACATGCGCAGTGTCCGAGGCCGGGCTCGTTCTCATACCTGCGGATCCGCGGGGCCCTGCCGGCGGAGCCCTCGCCTCGAAGCCAAAGTGACGTCATGCAAGCGCCGCGGGATGTGTGACGTCATCCTAGCGCGCCTCGCGTGATGCTGAAGCCTTGAGCTCGGACTGGCAAAGGCGTTGCTGTGGAGACTGTGCGGCGAGCCCCGCCCCCGAGACGGGATTGGAGGAGAACTGATCGGCGGACGTTAGTGAAGTTTTGGAAGCGCGCGGGAAGGCCTGTGGGCCGCTCTCTGCGCGGGTTCCCCAGACACCCCGGTCGCCCTCGCTCTGTCCCGACCGAAGAATCCTAGGAACCTCCAAAGATAGAGCCAGAGCCCAAAATTCAATTTAAGAGGTTTCTTGACCTAAGATAGTAACTATCGGAAATGCCTCTGATCCAAGAAAAGTAAAAATTCATACTGCTCTAGATCAGATTCCGGGTGAGGCAGGAGGCTCCAGCGAGGCTTAAACTTACTGCTTCTCTGTGCAAAACTTTCCAAAGATTCCCTTCTCACTCAGAGTGAAAGCCAAAGTTTTATCATCGCCAGCAATGTCCTGTCACCACCGGGCTCCCGAACCTCGCTGTGCCTAAATTTTGACTCCCGTACTTTACTCCAACTACATACATCGTTTGACTTCTGCCTCTGGGACACTGAACTTAATTTTACCTCTAAAAGGAACTTGTCCTCAAATATCCCCAGGGCTCCTTTCCTCACCTTCAAGGTATGACTCAAACGTTCTTTACTCAAAAAGGCTGTCTCTAACCTCCTGACTTTAAATTACAAATCTGACTCCCCAATCCCATGTTCCCGTTGGGCTCCATTACATTTGTCACCTTCTAATATACAGTGTAATGCATTTCTGTAACTTCTCGGATGTCCCTCTCCATTTGAAGGCAGGAATTATGTCTCTTTTGTCATTGCTGCATCCCCAGTTCCTAAACAGAAGGTGATAGGCGCTCAGTATCTGTTGAGTGAATGGATGTATTTAACAATTGCAGGGTTAAGTAGTGGTTTAGTGGCAGAGCTTTCGTGGTTCGTGTTCCAGCCCCCCTTTGTCACTTGGCTCCTTTGTGACTTTTAGGAAGAAAAACTTTCTGAGCCTCAATTTCCTCATTTTTTAATGTCAGTGAAATAATACGTCTGCCTTTCACTCAACGATATGGAATACCTTCCTGTGTGACCAGCAAACACTGTGCCAATTGCTGGAGACGTAATAGAGAACATAAACGCACATGTTTCCTCATTCCACTAGAGCCTATATCCTGAGGAAGGATCCCAGACAATAGCCACGTAGTCATCCAAATAACCGATTATTCACAAATTGTAATAAGTGTGATGGAGGAAAAGCAATTAGTGCTGAAGGGGGAAGGGGTAGGAAAGAGCTCCCTTGAGAGAATGACTCCTTAATTGTATTAGTCAGCATGGGCTGCCATAACAAAATACCACAGGCTAGGTGGCTTAGACAACAGAAATTTATTTTCTCACAGTCATGGAGGGAAGAAGTCCAAGGTCAAGGTGTCAGCAAGTTTGGTTTCTCCTAGGGCCTCTCTCCTTGGCTTGTAGATGGCCACCTTCTCACATATCCTCACACGGTCTTCCCTCTGGTGACCTTCACCCCTGGTGTCCTACTCTCTTATACGGACACTAGTCAGATTGGATTAGAGGCCTCCCTAATGGCCTCATTTTAACATAATCACCTCATTAAAGGCCCTATTGCCAAATATAGTTACATTTTGAGGTACTGGGGGTTGAGATTATGAATTTGGGAGGGAGGAGAGGAAAGCACAATTCGGCTTCATGGCATCCAGAGCTGAAAGATGCCTAAGAAGGAGAGATGGGACAAGGGGAACCCTCCAGGCAGAAGGAAGAATATGTGTAGAAATCCTATGACTGGAAGGAATGTGGCAAGTAGGACAGTGCCATGTGGCGTGAGCTCAGAGTGAGAGGTCTTGGTAAGAGATATCCCGCGGGTTGAGATGAGCAGCCCACGCAGGGCCTTGGAGGTCACCTAGGTCTGTTGTTAGTTACGTGATAAGACCTGTCTTCAGAGAAGATTATTCTGACTAGAGATGGGTTGGAAGAAGCCTAGTCCCAGCTCCAGAGTTATGCGAGGCCTGCCTGGTAGAGCGCGTGGTGTCTTTCAGTTAGGGCCCAGGAGAAGGTTGACTATGAGGATTTTTAGTGATGCCCACCTGATACAGTGGATGGAAAGACTGAATGAAAAAGAGGCCAGAAAGGGACTTAATAAGCTGAAGCGATACGTAAATGTCATTTGGAGATAATTTGGATCTCGATTTTGATTTAACATTCAAAAGTACTAAATCTCCGTATTTGGGGGTGCTGGATATAATTTAGACGGATGTGATTTATGATTAAAACTGAAAGTTTTACATGAAATTAATGCAAAAGAGGAGAGGTCTAGAGATAGCAGTTGAACACTTAGGCCATAGGTCTGTCTGCTGGGAGCCAAAATACAATGGAAATGATTTGTCGAAAAGGAGCACTCATCTGTATTTCTTTTCTTCATGTTCAGCTAAAAGCTTCCCTTAGGTTTACCTCTGGTAAACTGATAACACAGTAGGCGCTCCTAAAAGATTTGGGGTGAAGGAGGTGGTCGTCTCCCACAAGCTCTCAGTAGGAGCGGCGCTGGGCAGGAGTGTTTCTCATTCCATTCCCAGAATCCAGTGTCAGAAAGTGGAAGCTGGTGGGCCCTCCTATCCACCTTCAACTCCGGTGGGGACTCGACCCTTTGATAACTGAATGCAGCAGACTCATTGCCTCTTCGCATTGGAGGGAACCAAGGTGAACATTTTCATCCCAGCGGCTAAAGAACGATGACTATCTTCTTGGAGACCCTGGACACCCATCTGCCAGTGATTGGGAATATACAAGGCAGCCCACCCTAATTTCGGACAGAATTAATTGTTAGAATCTGCTTTGTAATATTAGGCCACATGTATCTCTTGTAAGTCCTGGTCTGGCCTTCAGAAGCTACACAGACCCTGATCCGTCCTCTTTATAACATCAATTATTTGACGATAGCTGTATGGTACCCTCCCGAGGCCTCCAAGCCTTCTATTCCCAAACCAAACGCCCCGCTCCAAAAATACTCTTAACAGTGCTCTTGTGAAAATCCTTTTACAGAAACCTTTTGTGTGCTTGTCTTTGGATATATTTCTATAAATAAAACTGCTGGAACAAATGGTATATTTTATAGCTTTTGCTACATATTTCCAGCTTACCCTCCAAAAAGGGAGATTTTGTTTATATGCCCACGAGGGGTTTACGAGAGAGCCTATTTCCCCACATTCTAGCCACCAAACATGGGGAATTTTCATTCTTTTAATCATTGCCAGTCTGATAGGAGAAACTGATTATCTCATGGTTGCTTTAATTTGCATTGTTTTGATTACGGGTAAGGTTGGATTTGTTTTCCAGCTATATCCTATACTTTTGCAATCAAGCTCTGGAGCTAAATGCAGGACCTTACATGTATTCTAGTTAAATTTTATCTTGTTGGAGTCCACCAATCATTCTTTCCTGTTGAGATAATTTGGATCCCGATTCTGTAATTCTAACATATTGGCCTGCCCTCCCAGTCTCGTGTTATTTGCACAGTTGATAAGCAGTTATCTTTGGCTTTATCCAAGTTGTTGATAGAATGTTAAAGAGATTAGGGCCAAGGACAGAACTGTTTGGCATGCCATTGCAGAACGCCTCGGGACAACACTGTTCCATCTGCTGTTAGGATTACACTTCAATATTTGGTAGGTGGAGCCTTCACCTGAGACACAGGGCGGGGCACAAATTCTAGCCTTGACACTAATTAGCTGTGTGGCCTTGGTCAAGTGGTATGCCTTAAACAAACACGGGTCACGTGATTATCTAATGTCCCTTTGAGCCCGAGCAGCCCCTTTGTCACTATTTTGTCCATAAAGATTTCCTCAAAAACTGTCAAACTATTGTCAAAAGTCATCTCACTATGACAAAAGAAGCACACGCCTGATTTACTAATCTGGTGAAAAACATTCGTTTGATCATCGACATTGACCTTCATAATCACCCTTTCTAAATGCTGGTGAACCATTCCTTTGGTCGTCCGCTCCAGAATTTTTGGCCCATGATCAAAACCAAGCTCAGTGGCATTCAGTTTATCCAATTCATTTTTTTTTTTTTAATTTAAGACATTTGCCTCAATTCTCCACAATTCCTCAAAGTACCCTGAGACATCAGAAGCGCTCCGTGCTCCCTGACGAGGCTTGTCAGCTGCCGCCTTCACCCAGTTTTCTTTCGTATCACGAAGGAACAGGTCCCTGAGCTGGCCTCCTCTCCTCCCAGCATGGATGGAGAGCCCAGGGCATCCAGAGGACAGTCAATAAACAGCTGTGACAGCACAGAAAGGAAACTGGGTGAATGGCCTAGTTTAAGGGGAAAGGAGATCTTTGTGACACTGACAAATGCCAACTGCTCTAGTCATTAGCTGAAGAAATGGCCACCACAGGCCTGGGAGACAAACCTCTGGTTTTTCAGCTCCAGACATGATGAAGAAAATAAGCATCAACAGAATCGTCCTCGAATGAAATGATGACACATAATGCACGTTTCTTTGAGGCACTTCATTATCGAAAGTCAGACAAGACTATTCGAAGGAAGGAATAGGAAACGTTATCCCCACGTAACAGATAAAGACACTAAAAGAGAAATTAGGTGACTGCTTTAAGTGACATAATATATCAGTCATAACTCCCATCACTTGGCTTCTTGCCTCCATGACTGGAATGTAGCTGTCGATTTATACCTTGTAAATGTATCACGAAATTATGTACAGTGATGGCCATTCCGTATTGTCTGTAACCATGATCATAAAGGCTAATACTTAGCTCTTCTGATGCCAGGCGCTGTTCTAAGTGCTTTGCATGAATTAACCCTGGACTTTTCACAGTGAGCACCCCTGTGGGGTAGGTGCTGTTTTTCACTTCGGTTTTTTGTTTTGTTTTGTTTTGTCTTGAGCAAGTGATTCCATTTTGAA